ACAACAACACACACACACGATATATATATATATATATATATAATACATACATACACTAATAACTACACACACACACACACACACACACACACACACAGGGAGAGATATATATATATATGTATATATATATACTCGAATTCAGCTTCATATTGTTGCTGTTAGCAGGATATTGTTGTACTCCATTATTCGTAAAAAGGCACATACAGACTTCACAGGCAAGTAATTTGCACCCTGGTCTGCAACTGTATTGTACTTACCTTGGACATGATTTTTGATTTAATATGAGACTTAAGATGAATGTATATTGGACCTTTGGTGATCTGCCTGTATACTCTACTGGATACCCTTTAACCTATATATATATATATATACCCTTGGCTTTAACATATATACACGACAATACACTACTACATATATTTAAATACACACTTGATTGTATGACTGTAGGTGCATTCTTGTTGTCACAACCATAGCCTTCTAAATCGAACACAACGTTTGATGCCCATTCCGCTCGTGGCCCTGGTTACGATAGCTAATCCAATTGGCCCGAGTTCGTATGTGAGACCCAAAATCACCAACGCGAAGTTTGATTCGTAGTTATATTTAGAACTTTGTGGTGGGTTAAAAAACTACACTAATCAAAACTAGCAGAGAGGCAGCAGCCTGAGGCCCCGAGCAGGGCACGGGCTTGGACCGTGTACTTGGAATATATTATATATATAATAAATCTGCGTACACGTATTAAAACACATACACGTATCAAATATAGACATTCTGCTATAGAAATATGTATACGTCTATATTAATATAAATGTCTACTTATGCATGTGCATGTTTATACTTTATATTTATACGAAGTGTATACTAACCTCACATGTTTACAGTGCAGGTTCTACTCAGGAAGAATGGGAAAATATTTGGGGTCCTATAAATTTCTACCACGATTGTGCTTCCACAAGTGATATCCGATTATATAGAATATATCATAAAGGTTTATTTTTAGCATACGTTTCAACGTATGTAGGCGTTGTCCTATATTTTCGATTATTTGAGGCATAATTGATCCATACATTCTTGTAGCTTCATTAAAAGGAACAGCCACAATCTATTTCTGACATACTTTTGTTCGCTCTAACCATCTTTACTTGCTGGGTAGCAATTACAATGGCAATATATTTACCTTACTTTGTTCCTTGTCGAGCTTCCGTTGCAAGGGAAGAAAGTCAGTATTCTTCGTGTGCTTAACGTCTAATTTAATTTAGTGTGCTTTGCTTCTCGATTTAACAGCCGCTTCAGTTTTCTGTGTGCTAAATGGCGCGGTCTCGGTTTACCTTTGGCTTTTTCGTATAGCCCACACGCATTGCATAGGGTATCGCCATTCGGAGACTTCCGCCAAGTCTTTTCATTGAATATCTTACAGTTGAAACATACAATAGTTCCAGGTTTGTGTACAGCAAAGAAACTGTCAGTCGTCAACTCGGAATCTGCCATCGGCAGGCTACTACTTTGTAAGGCTGTGACGTTATTTTCAAAATCTGGCACAACATCCGCTGGCACTTCGCTAGTGAGAGACTTTCTTGCTTTGTGCTCGACCTTCATGTCCTTAAAATACGTCGAAGTTTCCGATGCGGTACCCGTTTCAGGACTCCCGAAATAAAATAGGTCACTGCTGCAATACGAAATTGGAGTGGTGGAGCCTATCATAGATGTACCCGAATCAAGCATTGATAGTCCCCCATTGACGCGCACAGCAGAACCCAACCCAACCGTATCCGATAGTGACAAGAAGGAGTCGCAACTGAACCCATCCAGATCCAGTTTCATCGTATTTCCTAAGCTTTTGAGATCCGCATCACCGAAGAACTCAACAGGTGTTTGCGTGCTTAAAATATCCGACATTCTAATGTGGTTGAAAGGCTCAATGTCCGCAATCATACTAGTCAGAGTACCCAAGGAGTCTGTAGTTGGTATGGTACTTAGCGTGCGCATATCTACATAATTGTTGTGGTCAACCATCGAGTTCGTTTCATTCGTCATAAACGCTTGATCGAGAAGTCCGTAGGGATTGAAAGGCTGTGTTGCACCCATATAAAGCGAGAAACGCGCGTACTGAAAGGCTATATCATCTAGTATTCCGCTAGTGAGCGGCGGTGATTGATCTGATCCAAATGTGAACGACAAGGGCACGTTCAAATTTGAAATTAAAGAGGGGTTAGATGTCGCAGAGGACACTCCCTCGCACGACGGGTTCAATGATCCGTGCTGTTTAGTATTCAATGCATGAAGAGATTCTGATGATGGCTTCCACTGAGCAGGACTTTCCTGCACACTTGTAATTGGAATTCCATATTGTTGCTGTGTGGACAGATTTGTCTGCACAACATTGTTTTGTTTGCTGCGCATGACACTTGCTTCTGACATAAGCGAGGCTGTCCTGCTGCTTGTTTTACTGTTTCTCCGATGCTTAGCTCTTTTATTTGAATAATAGTCGATGAATAAAATCTTCGAGGGCCGCCCTTTTCTTGCCATCATTCAAAAATGTGTTGTTTTACCGCATGTAGAATGTATAATGATTCTACATGCCTGAGATGGAAGCCTCTTAAATAAAATACAGGTAAAAGCCTAAACTCAAAAAGTTTTAGTGTCACAACTCACAAGAGTGAGTACAGCCATAACTGACATAAGGCATAAGCCCAATGCTCATAGATAAATACACGGTTGTGAATACATTGATGGTTTTTTTAAAAAACAAACTCACATTTTGGAAGGAGTCCGATAGTCCGAAACAGCTAAATATTTATTCTTCGACGTAAATAATTATTTATTTATAAATGCAGTATTTATTGACATTTATTTTATAAAAATTCACTCAGTACACTCTACTAGAGGTATTCTAGCCTATTTAGTATTTACCTGTAACATATAAAAAAATAATTGCAGTCTGTCCTTAAAAGTCCTACATAAAACCTGAAGGTATTGCAATTTTTAAAAAATATAGAGAAGAAACTCCGGAATGTTTTTACTTTTCTTCTGAATAAACTACTAAAGAGAAAAAAATGAAAAGATTGCGTTGTTGTATTGGCTTCAATTCTTGTGACTTGTGTTGTCAATACATATATATATCTATGTACCTATATATATATCTATGTACCTATA